CAACTCTCCACACAAGCTCCAAATATATATACAGTACAGCTCCTCCCCCCTGATGTCCCGCCTTCCACTCCCCATAGGATGGAACTTTCCCTCCAAACCCATGACAGACAGGTACCATCAGTGCTGTATGTGACAAACACCAACGGATGGAAAACTGAAAAAGCATCATCCTCACCTGTCAAAAGTTTTGCTCCTTTGGATAAGTTATTTAGGAGAATTTAAACTAGTGATGTAACATGAAATGAATCCAATAATGTGTTCTTTCAAACAAATTACAGTGGTGCCTCACTTAGCGATGTTAATCTGTGCAGGAAAAAACATCGCTAAGCGATTTAATCGCTCAGCAATTTTAAAAAGCCCATGGGAACTTATTAAAACGCGTTTAATACGTTCCTATGGGCTAAAAACCTACCTCAAAGTGGGTGCCTCTACAGCGAGGCAAAACAGCGGTGGCCATTTTGTTTTTGCGACAGCCATTTTGGAACCGCCGATCAGCTGTTTTAAAAAGTTCGTTTTGCCATGATCGCTCTCCCGCGATCATCGCCAAGCAAATTTTAGCCATTGAGGACATTGCTAAGCGATCGCTCCAGCGATGGCCAAAATTCCATCGCAAAGCGATTTCATCACTCAACAGAGCGATCGCTAAGCGAGGCACCACTGTACAATTTCATGACCTATATAATGCAATAGGTTTACAGGATTGTAATTGAAGGAAGATCTTTCTGTAGTCACACCTGACATCATTGAGGACATTGCTAAGCGATTGCTCCAGTGATGGCCAAAATTCCATCACAAAGCAATTTCATCACTCAACAGAGCGATCGCTAAGCGAGGCACCACTGTACAATTTCATGACCTATATAATGCAATAGGTTTACAGGATTGTAATTGAAGGAAGATCTTTCTGTAGTCACACCTGACATTATCTACTGCAGTTCACGTCCAGAACAAGTAACAGTTTTGTCCAAGGACACAGCAAAGTGGCAACCCTGTCTAGTCATACACAGCTGCTTGCTCATTTAGCCCCTGTGAGAAACCAAAGCATTAGGTGTTCCTTCCTAATCTGCAATAAAATACCGTATTTGCTGGCATACAATTCATGACCTATAATGCAATAGGTTTACAGGATTGTAATTGAAGGAAGATCTTTCTGTAGTCACACCTGACATTATCTACTGCAGTTCACGTCCAGAACAAGTAACAGTTTTGTCCAAGGACACAGCAAAGTGGCAACCCTGTCTAGTCATACACAGCTGCTTGCTCATTTAGCCCCTGTGAGAAACCAAAGCATTAGGTGTTCCTTCCTAATCTGCAATAAAATACCGTATTTGCTGGCATACAAGACGACTTTTTGGGCCCAAAAAAACATGCGTCCAAGTGGGGGGGGGTCATCTTGTACGCTGGGCGCACTTCATTTGGGCCAGGAAGGAGATGCCGCCGCCGCTGTTGAGTAAGTGACGCGGGGCCGCGCTGGCCGGGAAGGAAGGCAGGAGGTCAGGCAGGCAGGCAGGCAATCGGTCTGGATGGTCCAATAATCTCTTCAAATTTTGT